ACCTAACTGGGTGGGCATACAGCAGTTGTGCATTATATAGTACAAGAAAAATTTGGGTGTTCAAGGTTTGAAGTACAGGCAAAAGTCATATTTTTCCAAGAACAAACAAACAAATAATTGGCTACATTGTCTTAAGGACTTCCCAGCAAGACCAGGAAACCTCACAGCATCACACTTTCACCTCAACCCTGCAGTGACTCACTACTACTCATGGCAAAATCCCAAAGTCCTGAACTTAGCAGATAAGGTTCCATATTACTTTGCTCAGGGGGAGAGAGAGAAAGGCTATTTGTTGCTCCTGTAATAGACAAAAAGCATAGGGTTATTATGAGTCAAAATAGACTCAGCAACAATGGGTTTGGTTGGTATACCCAAACACATTGCCATCAAGCTGATTTCAACTCATTACAGTCCTGTAAAGATTCACAGCCTTGGAAACCCTGTACAGGGTCACTAGGAGTTGGAACCGACTCCATGGCACACAGCCACCACCACCACCATAGGGTATCTGAGGCTGTACATCTTTATGGGAGCAGAACGGGAGGGGAAAACACTGGGGGAAAGAACAGAACAGATAAGAGGAAGGAGAGACAGACAAGAGAGCCTGTTGGGTCTGGGATTAAGAGGAAATTTGAAGAACTTTGGGGCTGGAGTCATTGAGAAGATGATCTGAGTAGTAAATGCTCACCATGTGAAAGAGAACTGAGGAAAGAAGACCTGGCAAATATTTTGCTTTCAGTTGGTGTTGTCAAGCAGCACAGCTAATACTGAAATTATTTTTCAACTATTTGCAATGTGGAACTTAGAGTTTTTAGAATGCATTACTGTGTCAAGACAGAGCCACATGTAGACTGTGCTTTCTGAGAAGCCCCTCTACCTCTCCAGTCTGTCTGTATTACCCTGACACAACACAGCTGCATTTCTTACAGCCCTTGTACTCCCCAGAGACCCCCCTCTGCCTCCAAAGACTGCTAGCTGTGGATCTCCTTCTGTGTACCCCTTTAGTAATATGTTCCACTGTCTATCATCACTTTAACCATAAAGTTTCATAAAATTTATGTGTAAAAGCTACTCTAGGGTCTGCCTCCATTACTAGATCTGAACATCTTGAAAGTTAGTGGATATTTTATTCATTCTTGCCCACCCTTTCCTGAGTCCTGGCCACAGAGCAAACCACCTAAACTGATTATGTAACTTGCACAGTGGAAGGATCACTAATTTTCTAGGCTTCTGGAGCACAGTTGCCAAAAAGAGCAAATAGGGCAACAGACAAAAGAGGGATCTGTAAGAGGGTTTCAAGGGAGTCCTGGAGATCCTTTCTAAACTGCAATCCCCAAACTAGTAGCTATCAAGTCCATGTCAACTGAGGGTGACCTCATGTGTTTCCGAATAGAACTGTTCTCCAGAGGACTCTCAATGACCGATTTTTCAAAAGTAGATCTCTAGGCCCATCTTTCCAGAACCTCTGTGTAGACCAGAACCATTAACATCTTAATCAGCAATTGAGTGCATCAATTGCTTGAACCACTCGGGTTTTAAGCTGTAATAGAATTTCATCAAAGCTTTTTCATTTCTCACATATTCCTCAAAGGAGATACTGTATTTCTTCTTTTGGTGTTCCCTGACCCACAACTGCCTTCCAGAAACATGAAAGCCATCAGAAAAATCTAGATGGGTCCATTGATGACAGGGCTAACCTGGCAAGGAAGACCTGCTAAGAGGTAAAGGAAGAACAAAGAGACCGCATGGACAGTTACCAGCAGTTGCTGGAGCACAGGCTCTCTAGCAAAGTTCTGGCATCATTTCCCACCAAGATACTATGATGGCTTCATATCCACTCTCAAATCTTCAACTCCAAACTCAGAGCTCTCTAATTAAGAAGACATTTGCAAGCAGAGCTGGTCTGGTTGCCAGGGAGAGTAGAGAGTCTTGTCTCCTCAGGTCCTATGTGGTGAGCATGGTGTGGCTTCAGAGCATAGGGTTCTCAGTAGCTCTCAACCCTGCTGCCCACCCCACTCCCCAGGGACAAATGTCCAACCACATAAGGAGAAAGAGCTGCCACATACGTCTGGCCATAGCATCTTTCTTCTGAAATGAGCTGAAGCTCTAATAACAGCCCTTCTAGAAGAAACCCTTATCCCACCATTTCTGGGAGGGGTTCAAGCTACAATAAAAGAATTGTATTCTTCGAGATATGGTGGGTTTTTTTCTCTTCCATTTGATACCAGGATATCACACTCTTGGAGTCCTAGTTTGGTGCTGTGGGTTAACGCGCTGGACTGCAAAGTCAGTTTGAACCACAAGGTCAAGCTCACCAGTTCAAATTCACCAGTTGCTCCTATGAAACCCTATATAGAGTCACTATGGGTCAAACCAACTCGATGGCACTTAACAACATCAACATCATACTCAAAAAGAAAAGTGAGTGGGACTGCTGAAGAAATAAGATCTGCTTCAAGCAGTGAAGAGAAGACTTTGAAGGGCTCTTACTTGAGTGGAGAGCAGACTCGTTCTGAACACCTTATAGGTCAACTCAATGCCAGGAAGAGCTCCGATAGTCCTGTTGTGAGGTGCTGAAGCCAGTGGGGAGAGATGCTGCCCAGTGTTGGTACCTAAAGACCTACAAGGTTCCTTCCACACAGGTGCCATCTCCCAGAATGCTCCTCTCCATTCCCATTGGGTCCCAAAGTGTACCACTGGAGCACATTTTCTCTGTCAGTGGTAGGTTTACTTTGTCTGAGGTTGCCCATACTATGTTCCCCAACACTGACGGGTGAGCTCAGCAGATAAAGTGGGCAGTTATCTCTCACCTAAGAAGGCATCTGAAACCTGGAGACAAACTTACCAGGGTTCAGATTTCATCAACTTCATTTCTTAAAACTTGTATAGACAATCCTATAACTTTCAGTTGTTCCCAAGTGCTGACTTGAGATCCAATTGTATTCTAAATGAGTACTTAGGGTGACTGAATGAGTGTTTTATAATTCTAAGAGGTTGAAGTTTTCACCATGTCCTCACCTTGGTCATCTACAGGCATTATACCCAAACAGAAACATCACAGGGAACCATATTGTCCATTGTTGTTATTGTAAGGTTGTCGAGTTAGTTCCAACCCATAGTGGCCCTGTATAGGGTTTCCAAGTGTTTCAGTGGAGTGGCTGGTGAGCTTGAACTGCCCACTTTGCAGTTCAAACTGACTTTGCAGTCCAGTGCATTAGCCCAGAGTAATACACCAGGACTCCATATTTTCCATTATTTTAAAGCTCTGAGATCAAACGTAATCATGTTCTAGTGTCAGCACTTACCCCACATTTACTCTGGGCTGGGTGATGTGTTAGGCATGTTGTTTCTAACCAGTACTTAACCAAGTCTGCAAAATGACACTATACCTATTTTTAATAGGGGAAATAAAGTCCAGAGAAGTTAAATGACTTGAATAGGGATATCTAGCAATTAGGAGACAGACCTTGGACTTGAACCCTGATCTGACCTGATCCATTACAACTAAGAGATTTGAACTATAAATGGAAACACTAATAATGAACAATGTTTCTAAGAAAAAGGTGGCATTAAAATTTTATAGAAGCTTATTAGAACAAAGCAGAGTGTGGTCACTCCATAAGCTAAGCACTAGACTGCAAACAAACCACAAGGTCCATGGTTCGAGACTACCAGCCGCTCTGGTGGAGAAAGGTGAGGCTTTCTGCTCCCACGAAGGTTTAAAGCTTTGAAAACGCTATACAGGATCACTAGGAATCAGAACTCACTCAACAGCACTTAACAAAAACAAATCAGAAAAAAATGATGGAACACAATTTCTGATACAGCAAAGATCAAATACGTGCTAAAATATCTCTAAACAAACTCCCATTTCAATATGAAAAGAAATTCCAACAAAATGTAAATTCAACTCTCTCTGAGGAGGAAAACCCTCCATGCGAAGTGGCACTAACAATGGGTACAAACATGGCAGCAAATGTGAGGACGGCACAGGACCGGTAGGTAGTGTTACATTCTTTGCACAGAGGGGTGCTATGAGTCAGAACTGACTTGACAGCATCTAACAACAACAACAAGATAACTATTAGGTTCATTTTATATTCTACTTCAGTTTCAAAACTTAAATCTTGAAGATATCAAAATTCAAGACCATAAAGAGTATTGGTTCCCAAGGAACTTCAACGTCCACAAATCCAGTGTCAGTGAAAATGTTTTAGTGTCTTGGGTCTCTCTGTAGACCTCTTTCCCTCCATGGTCTTCAAAATGAAGACCCCCTGGCCCAATCTTCTTTTATAGATAGGGAAGTTGAGGCTCAAGAGGCTAAGTGACTTTCCAAAGAGAAAATCACAGAATAGCCAGGATTTGAACTCTGGCCTCCCAATGCCCAGTCTGATTCTTTTTCCATCCCACCGTATTACCCATTTCATATCCAGAATCAAAATATCCCTTCTTTTGACACAGCATATTTCTTCTGAAAATACCATTTCCTTCTTCATGTTTTTAAATAGTTCTTAGATTCCATTGTATTTCTGTCTTAGCAATGATAGTATGGGGTCACCCGGGCTATGTTTCATGAGCATTATTGAAAAGCCAGGCTCTTAGCTAGAGGAAGATCATGATGAAAGACATTTCACATCTCTTTTAAATTAACCCATCTAAGAGCTGGTCCCAACTCTTAATGAGAATCCTGAAATTCACACATATATTTCAGCTTGTGGATGGGGGTGAGGTAGGGCACTGTCATCTAGAGTAAGAAAGGTAAAAAGAATCTAAGACAATATGGTGCATTGTTACACTGGCTATCTTATATTGTCCAGAAACATATAATAGAAGCTTAGACTGCAGACTGCAAATTTGCTTTGCACTGGAAAGATCAGAAGGAAGGGGATACTCACCCCAATGCAAAATCAGAATCTAAGACAGTCTGAGGAGCAGAGGGAAGTTTCTCTGTGCAATCTTAACCTCCCTCCCTCCCCATCCATCTCCACACTTATACTTACTGGCATCTTCACTCAGGTCCCTGTCCATGGTCCAGCTGTACAGCCAAAGAGACGTTTGCCTTTCAAGTTGGCTCAGGCCACTCTGGCTCTCAGAGACCACCTAAAGCTCCTCCCAGAATAAGGATCCATTGTTTCAACATTTGAATACAGCAGAGGAAAACATTCTGGAGAAGCAAGTGTCAATTTCACTGGCTGCTCCGGACCCAGTCATCTAGGGTCTCAGCTCTTAACTCACAAGTGTCTGCTCCTCATCACACTCTTGCCAGGTGGTTCTAGTTACGTGTGGTCTCACTACAACCCTATGAGCTGGGCACTATGATCATGCTGGGATGCAACCCTCGTCTATCTGAGTCTCAAATCTCAGTCCCTGGCCACTGTGCTCCACCACCCACCTCTAGGAGGCAGACCTGTATGACATGCTGCAGAAGGGTACTTATACTGGGTGATACTTTTGAAGTCTTATGCCTCAAACTTCTCAGCTCATAGGGGAGGTAATGAGAAGTTGTTGTGAGCTGTGGCCAAGTCAGTTCCAAGTCATGGTGATCCCATGTGTACAAAGAAGCACTGGGCTCCAAAAGGTTTCTAAGGAATTCCTTTAGGAATCAAATGGCCAGGCCTAACTTCCGAGGTTTCTCTGGGTGGGACAGAACTGCCAACATTTCAGTTAGTAGTCAAGCACTTAAACACTTGCACCACACAGTGACTCTCCAAAGTCATATCTCTTTATAAGCAGACAGTTCCCGGTGTGGGCTAAGGGGTCATTGCTCTCACCATGCCAGCCAGACTCCCTGGTCAAATATCTGTGGATTTTAAAAACTGGTGTCTGAAGTCTTTTGCATCAGGGTCAATACTTCTTCAGTCCTAATTCTTGGAAGCTCAGCCTTCTCCTCTGGATGAGACTAAATGATGACTATCTGACTCACCTGGTGGAGGAAGCAGAAAGCTTGTGAGCTGATCTCTGTGGCCTCAATGGTCCTTCCTCCTCTACCCCCACTACCACACAAGTACCAGTATCAAAAGCCGTAGCAAGTATTTGACAAACACTTCTTAAATAGCCATGCAACTAAATCCTCTCCAGTAGATTTTTATAGTTGGTAGAAACACTGAATTTCTTACACCCAAGGGCTATGTAAGTTTCATTAGTGTACCTATATGAGGGAACAAAAAGGTCCTGAAGAATGAACAGTCTTCTTATCCTTTTATACATTAAGGAATGGTGTTAAGCCCTTGTTGCCCCCATGATAACAGAAATGCCATAGATATGTGTACCTGTGTGTGTGTGTATTTTACACCAAACACAATATGTGTGTATGTGTGTGTGTATATTTGAACCTAAACATGATAGATGGAGGCGTCCTGGTGTGGTGCTGTAGGATAAGCACTGGACTGTAAACCACAAGGATGGCAGTTCAAATCCACCAGACACTCCTTGGAAACCCTATACACGGTGGTTATGAATCAGAACTGACTCAATGGCACTGAACATCAACAAAATGATAAACAGGTGGGTAGATGGGTGGGTGGGTGGATGGACGGATGGACGGATGGACGGATGGACAGAGAGAGAGAGAAAGAGAGATGGAGTGAGAGAGAGATAGACAACAGCGTACTTATGGTTTAACTAGAAAATAATACTAATACATTTTGAGTAGTCAACAAGCAGCTTAAAACCCTCCTGAGCATTTGAAAGAAACAGCCATGGGAAATTATTTAATAATAAACAGAAGAAACTGAATGTTAAGTAGAGCTGAGTATTTAAAGGGCCAGGAACCTGGAAGTTGTCAAAATGCAGGCAACCAGGAGCTGCATTTGTAAGTACAGATCAAGGGAAGTGATTATCCCATGGTGGACACCAGTTAGATCACTAGTTAGTCAACAGCCCCTAAAATTCATGGAAGATAAACAAAACTACGACTAGACCTCTTTATTCTCACTTAGGCATCAAGACAGGAACGCTGTTTGAAATGGTGTTCTTGAATGACTCAGGACAATTAGTTAATGCATCCATCAGTACAAAACCTTCATACTGTCAGCAGGAACAAGCATCATTAACTCTACGGTTTAGGCCAGAATGAGGCTAAGACTGCTCCCCACCTCCCACTAGGATCAACAGAGGTTGATGTCACAAAATGGGCTCTCTAGAGCTCTTCTCCCTGGACTGGTCCTCAGATGCCCACAGATCAGATCCATCATCTCACCCTTGTGCCCAGCACATGATAAGTATTCACGAAGCATTTGTTGATTGAACAAAACTGTTCAAGAGCTACCTCTACTGCTGTCTGGGAACAATTTCGATCTTTTGGAATAAAACCTATGGTCTCTCAATGTTGAGGGTATGTTATGGAAACAGGACACAGGTATGGGAATATGTGATTTTAGAAGGGAATCCAAGAAGCCATATTGTACACTACAGTTGTGTGTGATGTGAAGAAAATATCAAGAGGGAGGGCTCAACAAACATCATCAAGTATTTAAAGGGCTGTCATGATGGTAAGAGGAATCCTGATGTGGCACTGTAGGATAAAGCACTGGACTGCAAGGTCGGTTGGAACCACAAGGTTGGGGTTCAAACTCACCAGCTGCTCCTTGGAAACCCTATGTAGGGTCGCTATGAGTCAGAACCAACTCGATGGCATTTAACAACATGATGGTAAGCAGCAGAATCAAATCCCAACTATCCAACATACAAACATGCTGAGAGCTCTGTTAAATTGGGGGATCAAAATCAACTTACCAAAGAGATCTGTCTACTGAGAAGACCTTTCTGCCACAGGACTGGGCCCCTCTGGAGACTATTAAAGAAGAATCCTGATGATTAAACAAAATGGGCAGCTGTTGTTGTTGATAAGTGCCATTGAGTCAGTACCAACTCACAGAGACCCTATGCACAACTGCCTGACCCTGGGTGAACCTCATAATTGTTGCCATGCTCGAGCGCATTGAAGCTGGGGTTCTTCCTCTTTTTCTCTGACCCTCCACCTTACCAAACATGATATCCTTCTCTGGTGACTGGTCCCTCCTGACAACAGTCTGAAGCATGAGAGACGAAGTTTGGCCATCTTGGCCTCCAAGGAGTACTCTGGCTGCACTTCTTCCAACACGGATCTATTGGTTCTTTTGACAGCCCATGGCACTTTCAATATTCTCCTCCAACACCATAACTCAAAAGCATCAATTCTTCTATGGTCTTCCTTATTCACTGTCCAGCTTTCGCATGCATATGAGGTTATTGAAAATACCATGGCTTGGGCTAGGTGCATCTTAGTCCTCAAATGGGCAGTAGTGGCAACAATTTATGACTTTAGAGTTGGGGTAAACTGTGTTAAAAGGCCAAAAGTGGATAAATGAGCCTGACAAGCCCTTTCCAGGACACCCCTGAAGGACAATGGTGAATGGAATTCCACCCAGTTGTCATAAATTCAAGTGATACACTTTCCTCTTGCCTAGAAGGAGAAATGACCATGAGCAAGAAACTACACTAATTTCTGGACTTTGCCAATGGTTTGGCTGGATCGTTGAAGACATGAAAGGTACATGTTTAGGAAACTGATGACAAGAAGGTCTGGGGAAGAGACACATGGATAGATTTCTCTAAATGGGCAAGGAATAGGAAAACATTTGTGTTCCACTTACTTGCTAACCAGAGGATGACCTCAACAGAGGAGGATTTTAATAATCAGGTTTATAAGATGATCCATTCTGTGACTACCAGGTAGTCTCTTCCCCCAGTCACTTCAGTCATTACCCAATGGGTCACAGTGGCAGGGGTGAGGCTTATACAAAAATGGCTCCACTGACTAAGGCAACCTTGGATCCAGCGATTGGAAAGTGTCCAATTTTCAAGCAGTAGAGACCAATATTGAGTGGTACCACTGTTTCGTGGCAGGTTAATCACTTTTGTCATGAAAGAGACAGCACTTTGTTCCCACTGATGCATCTATATCCACTTACTCTGGATGTAGATTTTTCCTCTCTGCATACAGGATTTCTGGCAGAATAACCATCCATGGACTCTGACAAGAACTAAGTAGAACCTGCCTCCTCTGAGACAAAAAAATAATCAGACCAGGATGACAAAGAGACAGCACTTCCTGGAAAGAAGATTGATGTGTACGTAACAGAGCAGACTTTAAGAAAAAGAACTGAAGCAGACAGACACCCAGAAGAAAATCATACTCTACATTTCCTTTCCAAGTTCTAGTCCACAAAGAAGGAAGGAGAATCAGTAAAGAGAAAAGTCACTTCTCTAGAGGACTTACCTTATACCAGGTACACAGTCTTAGCCAGGTGCACTGCAACCTCGGTTCCCTGGTTGTGCCATTTATGATAGCCATTTGTCTCAGGTTTCCCATTAATTCATTTAGGTTGTCCCTGGTTTGTATTTCTCAGTCAGTTCCACAGGAATCACCAAGTGATCTGTCAGGAATGCAAATCCCCAGGCCCCACTCCAGAAAGTTGGAGTTGGAATCTTGGATTATATCTTTGTATATATCCTAGTGTGGCACTGTGGGCTAATGCATCAGACTGCAAAGTCGTTTGAACCACAAAGTCGGTGGTTCAAGCTCACCAGCTGCTCCTTAAAACCCTATACAGGGTCACTATGAGTTGGAATTGACTCAACAGCACTTAACAACAACAACATATATATATATATATAAGCATGCCAGGTGACTAAAACTCAGGTGATCTGCAGTTAAAAACAAAACAAAACAAAAAACCACTGGTTTAGAGAATAACTCTGCACAATTTGTCAATGAACAAGTCATGTCAAGATTCGACCAATCTAAGTTTGAGGTTAGTCACTACCTGTCTTAGATGTTTCTTCCATCAAGATCATAAATGTTATGGGGCAACAATAACAGAAGTGGAGCAGTTTAGAGTCACCAGGTATTTCCCCAGATGTTTCCTCAGTTGTTAGTGGCTCCCACTTGCGTCATCTTGTTTGTGTAGTTAGTTGCTGTGGAATCAGCTCTGACTCATGACAACTGCACATACAACAGAGCAAAATACTTCCCACTACTGTGCCAT